GAATCTGGTGAGTGTTGAAAATAAGACTGAAGCCTCAGCATCTCATCTCTCTATGGTATGTGCCAGCTAGTTAGGAGAGATGAAGGCAAATAAAGGCAAAAAGAAAACTGGTTGATCTGATAGGACAGTAGGAAAAAAGGATATTAAGAGCCCACATTTAAAAGTACAATCAAGGTGATGTGATGATATGTTCTAGATGTAGGTAATACATAGATTATGACCAAGAGAAATGCAATTGTTATTAAAAACAAAGAGACCAATGGAATCTGAAAGAAGTTCTTGTGCACAATTAAAGTGCTATGATTCCACTTTCACTGTTAGGGCAACATCTTATGGATTTCTAGAAACTACATTTTAGGGAGGAGCATTTTGAATCCTTAGTCAGTTCCACAGGTACCTCTGACCAAACTATAATTCCCAGGATTCCATATGAAGCAGTTAAAGTGCAATCATAGTGCTATAATTGTGTAGTATGAAAGAGATGCCTTGGCATAACCTTAAATGGATCCAGTCTACTTTATGAAATAGATATAGTTTCCAGAGTTAGGCAGAAAATTGTAGCCATGTTGAACCCTAAACAAAATCAAAAATACATATCAATGATAATAACGTTATTAAGCCAACCAAAAGACACAAAAAGGAGTTTGCTGCCTTTTGAAGCTCCCTGGCTTCTTCACTGAGCAAATATAGTTTTTAAAAAGTCATGCAAGGGAAACAAAAGTGACATTGCTGGAGTCACAAAAGCCTGTAGGTTTACATCTTAGGTTTTGGATGTTACTGCGAGATTGTTTTCATACAGGGTGAAAGTTGAGTCTCATGCCTCCCTTCCCTGAGGTTGAGGAGAAACAGAGAGAAAGGCTGTGAAAAAAGGCCATTACATTTCTGTTCTGCTCTGTTGTAGCCATAAAATCTCTCCCCTTGAAATCTGTTTAGGACCTGTCAAAAGCCCCTGTTTTGGCAAGTGATCTTCCCAAGAAGATCCTATGTTGCCAAGTCTGAACAAACAGTCATCAATTAGAAAACTGGGCTGAAATTAATAAAAATTAATAAAATGAAAATCAGTAGAGACAAATGCAAAATTCTACATTTAGGCCAGAAAAATCAGAAGACACCCTAAGGGGTGTAGGTGACACCACTGCTTCCAAACAGTTTCCTTTGGCAGAAACAAGCAATGTGGCAGCAGCCTTATTTATGTTGGAGGACTCTCCTTTAATTATTATTGTTAGAAAAGTCATATACAAATGTTTATCATGGCCTTTCAGGCAACTATGACATGATGATTTCAGACTTCCCTAACCAGAAACAACCTGCTATCCAGGGTTGGAGGGAAAGAGTCATGTTGGTTATGCGAAATGGGCCTCTGGTGCTCCTTCCTCGACTTTGTAGTCCCTACATCCCTGAGCATTAGGAGGCCACAAGAACAGCTTTGTTTCAATGTGATGAGAAAGTTATGGCAACTGGTGGGTTTCTTTTGCAACAAAAAGTCCATTCCAACTTCTCCAGGCTGAGCAGAGTATGTGGACGCAGAAAGTATGGTTCCAAAGAAAGCAACATCAGTTCAGCACCTCAATATGTTAACAAGCTGCTTCTGCCAGATAGAAATGTCTTGGCAATCATTTCTAGCAAGCTTTACACTTAAACACGGTTCTCTCTCTCTCTCTTCTTTCAGTATTCAAACTGCAAATATTTAAGTCCTCACCCAAGCCGACATAGTCATGGTATTACACAAATTCCAGAAGCTTTGTGTAATCGCTGGCCAGGAAAGGCCATTATTCAGTATCCTATTGTCTACATCAAGTGCCAGAATATGCAGATATTTAGAGAGAAAGATGGGGTGGGGTGGGGAGAGACATGTTGCACAATCAAAGTATTTGGATTGAATCCAAACAAAGCTAATTGCCCTTAGATGCCAGTGAAAAGAATGGGATACTGGTCATGACTAACCTGTCCTATTGTGTAATAACCATATCCTCTTGATTGTTCTATTGATTTCAATGGAACCTAAGGGCACGTCTACACAGGCCATTTAAACTGCTTTTGCATGATGCCCTGTCTTCAAGATATAGGGGCAAAGCCTCAATTCAAATGTGGACTGTCTTCAGGACATGAGCCTAGTTCTACACTGCATCTATTTTAAGGTAGGGATGGAGCAAAACCCCGATTCAAGTGTGAACTGTGTTTATGATGTGGGGCCAGTTCTGCACTGAATCTGCCCCATCCCTGCCTTAAAACAGATTAAAAGGACACCTTTTGCTTTGGATTTTCCAGGAAAACCCAAATCACACCAGAATGATGTGGGGAAGGTGTTTACACACATGTCCCATTGTGTCACCCAGTACCATTGCCACTGGCACGAGTCACTCCCTCAGAGGTCACATTGAGGCACCTATTCATGAGATCGATTCTGGGCACCTTGTTTCTGACCTTAGAGGGAGCAACTCACAGCGGTGGTGGCAGTGCAAGGCAACAGCAGGGACACGTGTGTAGACAGCCTCCTGGCATTGCTCTGGAGTGCAGAGGTCATGGGAAGAATGTGGAGCAGCTTTGGGGGCCAGAATACTCTGGGAGCAGACCAGAGTAGTCTTGCTGGTGTAGATAAGCTCTTTGTTAACTCTGTCTTGCGGTACCTGGATAACTCACCCCATTCAGCACCCAGGCCTTGAACTGCCAACCTGCCGATCTTGCAGTCAACAGAGTCAGCACCTTAACCACCTGAGCCATTGCATCCCACCACATCATCTCCTGCATTATGCTGTTACTGTTCCTCCTCCTCCTCCTCCTCCTTTCCTTTCTCCATAATTTCCTAGCTCTGCCATTTCTGTTCACTGCCTTCTTGTCTTTAAGACCCCCTTTCCTTCTCTGCTTTTTGGCAGTACTTCAGTAAAACCTAGAACCTTATCACACGGGGGAAATCCTGTGCAGAAACAGGATTTAAAAGGTGGGGGAAACCCACAAAAGTGGGTAGATTTTCAGACACATCACTGTTAAAGTGTGATGCTGTTAACCTGAATGGAAAGTAGTCAAAAGCCGCTCCTTTTTACTTTTGGGGTTTTCTGAAAGTAAAAAGAAGCGGCTTTTGACTACTTTCCATTTGGGTTAAAGCACACTTTAACAGTGATGTAATCTGAAAAGCTACCCACTTTTGCAGGTTTTTTCTATTTAAAACCCCGTTTCTGCACAGGATTTCCCCCATGTGATAAGGTCCGTATTCCTACATCTATATTAGCAGGATTATTATTAAGATATGTAGAAACATAGATGGGGACAAATCATTAGAAATGGTTTGTGTGGCTTGACCCTTCCCATTTTATGAAAATTATAAGATGTCTCCCTGCTTTCCCAAGTCTCTAACTGTGACCTTGATGTGATAAAAGACGTTGCTCATCCCTACATGCCCACAGTAAAATAAAACTATATGTTTAGCACATTTTTAGATGGGGTCTTCACTCAAGTGGTAGAAGACATCTATTTGTCATAGCCTGTGCTTTTCCTCAACAATGTACTGTATTTTCCGGCGCATAAGATGACCCGGCGTATAAGACGAC